ATCAATAGAGTTCAAACGCCGGTGGTCCCCCCTTAAAAGAAAGAGCCCTCTTATCAATTTGGGTAGCCTACCTTGAAATATCCAAGGAGCCTGAAGGAATGGAGCCTAAAGGAGAACAATGCTAAAGAACTGAAGATAAAGAGTATCCCACTCAAAATCACTTACGTTTCTATTAGGTTTAGAATCTGGGTTATTATTAACGGTGCCCTACCACTTTACTTTATACAGACCCTGGTTTGTAATAAGCAAGACAGTTTGCCTATAGACATTTATTAATTAATTCATTTATATTTGATGTGTTGATATGATTACCTTTAAGATTGCCTGTTTTTCCTAGTTTTTTTGTGTTTGTGTGCCTCTTTTATTTTTTCCTGGATACGTGAGACTCGTAAGGGTGTGAAAGTTTTATACTCATAATTGAAAAGTTTAAAAAATTAAGTAGTTAAATAACATAGAAAGATAGCGAATCTAGGGAATTAGCCGGGAATTGCCCCTGAGATCGCATGCATATTTTTGAACTTCTTCTCTCCTTACTTTAGATCCTTCCACGCCTGCAGGTAGAGTCCGGATAAACTGACCTATGAGGATGAGGTGCCGGACCTGGAGAAGCCCAATCTTCTAAAAAATTATTTTTAAGCCTATTTTTAATTTTCAAGCATATATAATTTGAAGTTGTCGACTAGCATGCATTGCATTAGAAATATATTTAAAAAGAGTCAAAATTTTAATTGCATTAGTCCTTATCATTTTTCTCCCAACATAAGTCAAAAGGGGCAAATCAGGAAAATCTCTAGATGTCGGCCCTAGTTCTTCAGAACCTTAATAAAAATGTCCCAACCACTCTTTCATAAAAAGATTGAACTCAAGAATTTTAAATCGATTAGGCGGTTAGCTGGCTCCCCAATTCAGGCCGGGGTAAGCCCAGGTTCTGTACTGCATTAGTTAAGTTCGTACAACTGTGGTCCAGTGTCCAAATTTAGACTTATGATCCATGGATGATCTTTGGTTATAAGACCCTAACTTTCGAAAATATAATCCTAAATTTCTAATAAAATGATGAACTCAAATTAAATCTTCTTTCAATCTAAAACGTAAAGCCCAATACTTGAATTAAGTTGAGACACTTCCGAATGGTTCCAGAATCTCAAAGTATCCCTTATTTTTCTTCACTTGATTATATTAATAAGTGCTCAACCTCGATCCATTCACCTTTGAAATTCCAAGATAATTCACTTCCTTTCGTATCACTCCTAGAAGATCTTTAATAAAATTTTACCACTATTTTAATCGAGATTTTTTGTAGGGGATCCTGTCTCCCTACGATGTAATTAACTACGAGGACTTGCATTAGTAGGAGATTTAGAACCCGCATTAATTTTCAAACTTGATTGTCAAAATCCACTTGATATTTCTTTTGGGAAATCTACTTCGAAATGATCGTCATCATTATATCCATATAGTGGCTAACGGACGATACTTTCTTTCTCTAAAGAGATTTGTCGTATGCTAGCATCAATCCGAATGTGAAGTTAACGATCCCTTTTTCTCTCAATTGTCGTAGTTTGATTTTACATTGAACCTCATTTTGACCCTTCTGGGGTCATATGCGGTTCTCCTTTAAATCAGACTACGACAACTAAGAGAAAATTTATAATTCTGATTACGAACCCGTTAGGATATTTTATTTTCATCTTTCGAGGCAGTATATCATCACTAATGGTCCGTTCGACTCTAGAATTAAAATCTAAATTTAGTTACAAATTTTCCCAAAAGAAATATTCAAAGTTCAAATTAGTATTCTTTGGAAAGATTTAACAAACGATAATCGTTATCATCATACCCAAATAATTGTCAAGCAGTGATATCTTCTTCCTTAGGAGAGATATAACATTTGTTCACAAAATTTTGGGCATGAGATTAACGATAGTCTACTTAAAATAACATAGCTAGAAATTAGATCGAACTTAATTTTGGCCTTTCGAGGTTATATGCGATTCTATCTAGGATCTAGTTATGATATTCAAAGTAGGATTTATAATTTCGGATTTGAACCCTGTTTTGAAATTTTATCTCATGTTCTCGAAGTTGTATAATTTTTTAAAATATGATGTTCAATCTCAAGATTCGAATCTTAAAGTCGATTTTAAAATTTCCAAAGAAAACTAATCTTTTTCAAAAATCTATTTTCAAAATTCCACGAACATGATGATGTGGGTAGATATATGATATACATTGTGGACTCCTACAACAATCCTTACAAAGTCATTACAATGTACTTGTTAGCAATAACAGACTATTGTAAAGTGCATGAGTACTACCCACATGCAACAATCAAAGACCCACTATGCAAATAACAGCTACCCTATAGATTGAGAGGGTGACATTGACAATTGATGAATAAATACCCCAAGACATACGAATAACAAATGATTATCAAAATGAGTAGCTACAAACAAGGATGGCAACATAACAAATGATGTTGATAGATACAGTGGACTCCTACAACAATCCTTACAAGTTTGCATGTAGATTGAGATGGCAACACTGATAATTGATAGGTTAAGATCCATCCTTGCAAAAAAGTATAATCAATAACCACCTGAGATTGTCGAAAGGTGGATATGATGGAAGTACAATAGGCTCTTCTACAAGTACATCTGGGAGATTATAGTGAACATAGTCATTCCTTATGAGCAAGAACAGATGATATAATACACTTATGGATAACAATAATGGCTGTATTGTAAGAACAATGAACCCTTGTGGATACAAGTATATATAGCACTTATACAGCAGTGATTGAGATTTGCATGTACATCGGGTATAAAGATAACTTGATGTACAGAGAAGGATACCTCCCGGCAGAATGGAAGAAATGTTTGAACAAATTTGAACTAAACTTCCTGGTGTTCTAAAATTTCTTCTTGGTCCTATACTTAAGAAGAAAACCGTTCTGGCATCCACAAACACTAGAAATGATAAATGCGTCCAGATACCTCTATTCATTTTGAAGGCCAATTATTTGGTTATGAAGGTTACATCCTGTAGAAATCTGGTACACTGTAGACCTTGAAAGAGTTCTTGTTAAGGCAGCAATCATTGATTTCAAAAAACGTCCTCCTAGTGAATGAGAAAAGGGGAGTCAACATCAGGATGATGAGGTGCCTCATGACATCCAGATAATACCGCCATTGAATCTGCAACACTTATGCAAGTGGATAAAAGGCATTTATAAATATTTCAAAGTACCCCCACGCGCACATACACCGTAATTTGTATACGCATAGGTACACAAAAAGAGTAAATGCAATCATAATACTAGCATGGGCCTCGACGAGCATGTTATAAGTACACACAAGTGTTGACCTCATGCTACACGAGTCAATAAGTGAATTCAAGTGCGAACCCAATCCTTATATGCGGATCAATAAGAGTCGACAGTGTTTAAACCATCAAACAAATATATGGTGGTGGCGACTACTATATTTATTTGTACACACAAGACGTCTAGGGATGCTACACGAGTCAATAAGTGAATTCAAGTGCGAACCCAATCCTTATATGCGGATCAATAAGAGTCGACAGTGTTTAAACCATCAAACAAATATATGGTGGTGGCGACTACTATATTTATTTTAATACATTCATATTAGACATTCAAGGCCTTCAATAAAGAAAACTCACCAACAAATATTTGAAATCTACAAAATCTGATCCCCTATTAGCAAGTTGATAGGGTCGACAAGGTTTAGTCAATGAAAATTATCTCATAAACCTCGATGATGGTCGTATTGAAAGTTATCTCAACCGGAGGGGTTCACAAATACTTTCAAATGCCTACCAAATGCCCAAACGCCCATAAAATCCAAAAAAATCCCAAAATATAATTATTTAAAGTTGAAATAATCCATCAAGTCACTTAAAGCAAAATTTATCCATCCTCCGCAATAGTTTGTCGAGGTGGACAAATTGAAATTTACTTTAGCTCATACAGAGCTAATGCCTAGTCGAAAATATCACTATGATCCATTCTCAAACAATCTTTTGTCAGTAAGGATATGATACGTGTCCTCTAACCGACGATTTCACCGTCAAATGACACCGCAATATAAATGGTTATGACCTAGGGCCCTATGAACCGATTGATTTTGCCTCCAAATAGCACCAAATATTGATTATGCTCAGAGCCAATATGTTCCTTATTGTTATCAAATCCTTGAGATATAAGTCAATAGGATATAATCTATAGAGCATAAAACCCTCTGTTAACTAAGATGGATTCAAATTTATCCCGCCTTAGATAAACACTGACCCCAAGTCTGCAAAGTCTCCTTGGATGAAGCAACTCATGGCTGCCGACAAGGATCCTTCTATCAAGTTAGGTCAACTACCTCCTATGATTAAGTAGGCCAGGGACCAAGATGGCCCGGGACGACAGAACCATGGGATATTGATCAGGTCCATCATTCATTCCCCTATCATCCTCTTTAAATGCAAGATGATAAAAATTTTTATTTTAAATATCAAACCTAAAAATTCTCCAATATACATGCCCATGCTGCTACTATATGCCGGATAAATACGATGTGTTCACTGACGACTAACCTTAATCGAAAGTTCTCTATTGTTATCAAGAAGGGTAATTAACTATAGGGTCTAGGCAACCAGAAATCAGATCATAAAGTCATCGCAAAATGAGGGCGAAATCTCTGAGTAGTGTCTTGTCTACAAACTCATCTGCCTACCAAAATTTACTCTGGAACTTAATCCTTTAAAACTCCCCCAAAAAAGAAAAAGCAGAAAGCGTGTAGAGGCCAAAGTCGAATTTTTGGAGTCCATAAAGAACTTTTAGTTGATAGACAAAACTCTCAACCATAAAACTAAGATTTTATTTGTAACGACTTTCTTACTGTTTTTTTACAATAGCTTTTGTTTCCTGTTCTCTAAAGCAGTAAAAAAATCATCCCAAATAGCCTTAGAGGTGCAGTGTAAAAGGCAAATTCTAAAACAAAGAGAACCCACTATCATTAATGAGAAGAAATACAAACAATACTAAATAGAAAATAGATCATATAATGTAGCACTACTCCCAACAGCTCACAAATGCATGCATGCATCCTAAGAGACACTCACACAACAAACCCCTGCAGGATTCTTTTAACTAATAATGGAACCCATTCATTCATTCATTCATTCCCATAACACCCTTTATTATTCTAAGCAAAGCCCACAACAACTAATCTGATCAAGCACTCAAACTCCCTCCATTACTCTGTGACAGCAGTGGGCGCTTCTTCAGCCTTCGGCTCCTCAGTCGCCGGCGGCGCCTCAACTTCCTCCTCCGCGGCCTTCGGCGGCTCCTCCTTCGCCGCCACCTCGTCGGAGGCGGCGGGTTCCTCTACAGCGGGCTCTTCGGAGGCCGGCTCTTCAGTGGCGGCGGGTTCAGGTGGGACTTCTTCCTCGGTTTTGGCGGGCTCTTCTAGTGGAGTTTCAGCGGGCTCGGCGGCTGGTTCGGGCTCGGGTGCTGGCGGGGTTTCGAGGGTTTCTTCAACGTGTTCGGGCTCTTCGGCGGTTGGTGGGGAGTCGGCGGGAATCTCGTCGGCGGCGGGCGCAGCGGCGGTCTCCTGCTCGGATGGGACGGGAACTGATTCCACCTGAAAGGAAGGAATGTTTGCTGCTGTGATATTTGGAATAAAGAACTAAAGGAATATAAATCAACGATGAGTTTCAATTTAAATAAATAAAATTTAAAAAATAAAAAATAAAAAAAATTAATATTATTATTTAAAATTATTTTTAATAATACTTTATATCATTTAAAAATTAAAATATTATATAAATTAAAAAAAAATAACTTTTTTATATATTTGATTCATAGAAGAGTTAATAAATAATAATAATTGATTTAGAATTACTTTTAATTATTTCAAGCTACATCCATTTTAAAAAATTAAGATTTACTTTTAAATCAAAATATTCTATTGCCATTTTTTTTATTTCTTTAACCAATAATTTAAATTATTATTAGCTTTTCCATTCATTGGATGTAATTTCGCAACTAAGGTCTCCTTTGCGACGGTTTTTATATTGTTTTTAAAAATAATTTTGTACTAAAAATCTATTTTAAGAAACAGTAAGAAAGTTGTCCTAAACAAAAAAATTTGGTTTAGTACGACTTTCTTACTGTTTCTTAAATCAGCTTTTCTTTTAAATAATAGTAAGAAAATCATCCCAAACAAAAGAGTTAGAGAGAGAAATTATCACCTCAACAGCTGCCATAGATGATATAGAAGTTCAAGCCTAGAGGATAGAGAACGCTATGATCAGCTTCGATGAGAGAGAAAGAGCGAGGAAGAAGGATAGAGATAGAGAGAGAAATAATAGGAAGAAGTGAAGAGATAGAGAGAGAGAGAGAGAGGTAACTATGATCAGATGGAGTGTGCCTTCTCAGCATGAAAGAGCTATTTATAGCGCCCCTTTCCACCTCCTCGCCTTAGAATCTTAAGCGTATCACAAGAGACTGATTATTGTACTCATTTTTTTTAATTCATTAATTATTTTATTTTCAGATCTAGAAAAGTATGGAGACAGGCCGGGCCCATCTCGACTCATCTTTAACTTAAACTTGATTAATTAGTAGAATTTGAGCTAAAATTGTATTCTATTAGTTTGAACCGGCTCACGATTGAAAATAATTACCATTTAAATCATTATTATAATATTTTTTAAATGTGTGGGATTGTTAGCTAACGAGTCGAGACAGAGCTGATTTAGGCTTCGTTTGGAATTACTTTCTTTCATCTTCTTAAAACAGCTTTTTAATACAAAAATTATAATTTTTGTACTAAGAAGCCGCTTTAAGAAACCGTAAGAAAGCAATCACAAACGAAACCTTAAACTTGACTCATTAACTTATTGAGTTTAATTTACGAATTATTTATCGAATCGAGTACGAATAAACTCAAGAGTCAACTTGACTCACTTAGGATTCATTTTAGACTACCTTTTTATTAATTTTTAAAATAACTTTTTATTATAATTTTTTTTTAATAAATTATAGCTTTAAAAAGCAGCAATAAAGCCACCAAACGAAGCCTTATTTAATAGATCCCGCTTAAGAGAGAATATGGACATATTAAATCACAAAAATTCAAAAGCTAAAACGCAGCCTGCCACCTCCTTTCGGCAATGTTCCACGTGGCGTTCCTCGATTGGTTTCTTTTGAAAGGTAGGCCCCACCTGTGCCAACTCTAGCCTGGAAAGCTTGTGAATACGGGACCCACCTACAATAACGTCGAGTGAGTGGCGGTGGAGAGCGGGCCCCATCGAAGATGGAGGCGGCCAACTCGCTGCCGTGGCGGGGATCTCCACTTCCGGACCGCCAACATTTTCTGCTTCGCTTCCGCATATTTATTCTATGCGAGCCGCAACATCACCGTTCATTAGGCGAGAATCACTAGAACGCGATGAAGCAATTATGCGGAGCGGGGAGCCCGCCCGTACTTGCGAGAAAAAGGAGCGATCGGCGTGCGTGACAGCACTGCATGGGCCCCGCCGGTCGCATCCTTCCATCTGTACCGACGTGGCATCTCTGCCGAGCCCAATCCCCGAGGAATTTTTTACTATAAAATGAGCCGGGGACCGAAGATCAGTTTACTGAGTTTTCAACGAGCATTGATAACCGTTGATCTCGGATCCAACGGTTATGATAGAAGGATCACGGTTCGGTTTGGGACCGATGCCATGTGCGCAAAAGCTTAGGGTTTTTAATTAAGGGGCTAATGGGAAATTAATGTGAAAAGTAATATATTATTTAAGGGATTTTAATGTGAACAAAATAAAATTTAAAACTTTGATATAAATTAAAAATTTATATAATTTTGAGTGATGCCATTAATTTAATATGAATTTACATTTATACCACTTTATTTCATACTATTTACATTTAATATTTAATATTTGTCTATCAACTAGAAACAAATTTAATGCATAATAAATGAAATATAAAGTTTTCTAGATTAGCATAAATGAATGAATGAATTAACTGAGTGGATATATTTGACATTAACATTTTAATATGGGTGATAAGCCATATAATATTAATATTTTTTGATTGTTAGAATGTAAAATAACTGAAATAAGTTGTATTTATATGTAAATTTTCCTATTTTTTTCATATTGTTATTTAAAAAATTAAAATTATATCTATTATATTTCTTCAAACTATAAATTAAAAAATTGAATTTGAATTTTAAAGAATTTTTTTTTTGAACAAAATTAAATTAATTACATAATTGAACTTATTCATAATTGAACTTATTCATAATTGAACTTATTAATTTATTTAAAAATTGATAATTTATCAAAATGAAAATTAATATTTTATTGTGTTATTTAATAATTAAGCTATATTTTTTTAAAAAATAGTGATATATGAATATAATTTAAATTATAAAAGAGACATAAAAATTGCAAAAATTTGCATAAATAAGCATACATAGAAGAGGGCTTGCTATAAATGTGGCCATGGGGACCTTTGAAGAGAAGTGTTTGATAGAGAAAAATGTAATGACATGATGAGTTAGATGACAATATCAAGTTGGATTCTATAATGGCATTAGTGATGGAGTATTGATAGGAAATATTGAGCTTCTTGACAAATTTTGTGACCTAATTTATGTTGAAGTGTACATATCATACATAACTTTTCTAATATATTTTATGTTAATAAGCCTATAATGATATCAAAATGAAACCGGTCCCCGAATCCTCACATTTTTTTTCTATGATGCCTGTTCTCTCTTATACATCTTCGTCGTCTATTCAGCTATTATCCATCATCACTGCATCTTATCCCGCGCAACGCTGCTTATACACTCATATCATTATTTTTTCTCCATATTAAAAAATAAGTTGCATGTTTCTTATGCTATATATTCAACTGAGAAATCTTTGATGAGCCCAATATTGTCATACAATTTCTTTTCTCATCAAAAATTAAACATAAATTATTACATATATGATAAATATGAGCTAATCTTTCCAAATGAAATTTAAGTTTCAATGTATTTTTTTAAATTCAAATTTAATAAATATGATGCAATAATTATGGAATTAATGTATTATGCTCCTTGGTATTATTTTGCATTAATACATCCTATTATATATTTGTAAAAAATAGAATCATCAAAATATGAAGTTGAGTTATTTATTATTGTTGCATACATTAATAAAATTTTCAAGATGGTAAGATTATATGTCCATATTTGATAAATAAGAGAAATATTTCAATTACTTTATTAGGTATTACTCAATCTATATAAAAGAGATTTTTTCCCCACAATTATTAATATTGGACATCTCATGAAGAGTGCATTCTCATGTCACATATAGAGGCATATTCTGAACAATCAAATAAATAGACATAAAGAAATGATATAGAATGATATTGGCAAGCACATAATTTATAATATAATTAGTTAAAATTTTGAAGAGCTTTAAAAAATTAACATTCAAGATCCTCCAAATAGTGAAGCTCAACAATTTTATTATGTCTGTTAAGTGCACAATGAAAAACCTACATTGCCAAATGCAATAAAATTCAAAAAAAAAAAAAAAAACATTAAGAATGCTAATTATATATAACTCATCTTAATCTGTTGGTTGAGAGCTTGGGCTGCTAATCAAGAGGTCTTAAGTTCGAAAGTTACGTATGTGATGTGTGTGAATTTATCTTAATTCGCTCAAAAGAATCTTGATTGCCTCATCAATACCTACCACCACATCTTCAGTCCACCATATTGGCAGCAAATATGTATATTTTCATTCTATCCACCACCATCAACATGATATCCTCCTATAATAGTACTATCGCCATACTTGAAGTACCCGTACTCAGGTGATATTATATATCAAACCCTACTTCTGACCATCTAGTTTAGCCTAATAATGTTGATCATTGACAATTTGTCGAGTCCCCTGAAGGCGACATGTAAGTATTTTATGCATTCATATTTTTAATAACTCTCATATATAGAATGGCATAAATAATAAGGAACATGTATAATGCAACTTATTTATATAACAAGAAGGTTGCAAATGCTATTTGAGGTTTTTTATTTTAAGGGCTAGAGGTATGTAACATCTTTTAATGAAATTTGTTTCAATTAATTTTGTTATATTTATGTTTGCAATATATTTTAAAACATTAAATGAGTTTTCACTTGAAGCCCAAACATTATTCTATGATACATAGAAATTGTAACACCACTAGAATCAGTATTTAGAACTCTTTTGCAGGTGTTTGAGCATGTTTTATGTGAGAGTCTTCGAGTATTCTGAATTATGTCTTTATAATTAGTTTGTGCATTCTAGAAATCGAGAGAGAGAGAAAGGAATTCCAAAGAGAAAGTCCATTTTGGGCCACATCGTATCATTTTTGGTTGTCAACCTAATTTAAAAAAATATATATCTAGCTCAAGGTAAGTTGCATTTTGTCTATCTCAATTTTCAAAAATAACAAAACTTCTTGATTTTTTTATTTAATTTATAATTTTGTTAGCAAAAAATAAGGATAACTTGTTATCGAGAAAACTTTCACAACATAATTTTTTGTATGTTTTAGATACTACAGTTCTAAATATTTAAGTATTTTTCTGAAAATTTTACACCATATAAATTGAAAAATGTGAGATTTTTGATAAATTAAAAAAATATTTTGATTTTCAAAAATAATGTTGTATCATAATTAAATCTTTAAAACAATGCTTTGAACAATCTCTTTGAATTTGATTATATTTTGAAATAATTTATTTCTGCTAAGTAGTGTATTCTGCTGCCTACCATTGAAGCATTCTGTTAATTTCTTAACAGAACTCAGATCATAAAGTCCTCGCAAAATGAGGGCGAAATCTCTGGGTAGTGTCTTATTTACAAACCCATTTGCCTTTCAAAATTTACCCCGGAACTTATTCCGTTAAAACTCCCCTAGCTCAAATAAAAAAAAAAAGAAATCGTGCGGCGGGGAGGCCGGGGCCGAATTTTCGGAGCCCACACCATATTTATTGGTTCGAATTGTACTTCTCTCCTATGCTCATCAACCTTTTTCTTCATGATATGCTAGGCCCTCAACAGATGTCTCTTGATGATGTAGGTAGCACCTGCAAGAATGAAAACAGAGGACCACGAAAGGAACTGCAATAGAACAATATCAAAGTTTTGTATTATATATTTTCTATCTTCTCAATAGCCATCGACAAGAGTATTTCTATCCTCTCTGCCATACTACAAAAGGACCGAAATGTAAAAAGGTAACGTAGTGCTGAATAACTAACTATAGAAAAGAGATAGTGGAGCACATGCTCTCTAACAGAACCATGCAATAAGTAGCTAATATTAAGTAATATTCTTCTGGAGTCTCTACTGAGCATGGAT